CTCTGAAAAGAAAATGTTCAGGCTGACAATATACAGAGCAGAAAAATAAACTCGTGTGGGAAGGTATGACTGGACTGGGAGTTCCCTAGGGGGAGTGTAAATATTACAATTTGAAGGCAATATCCAAAATACCACCACCTGGTTATAATTGCAGCCACATGTGTCCTAGGAGGGCATTATTGTGAACTGCCTTGTCAAACACACTTGGGTTTAGGGCTTTGTAAGAGGATGAAGAGAGCCTTGAGCCAAAATCAGTTCAGCTGTTAATACAAATGAGAAGCTCTTTTCCCTAATAAAAAAGCTCTTCTTACCCTTATAGTGAACTGAAATCTCCCTGAGTGCCTGGCAGCGTGCAGGTCGTGTCAGAAGAGCATAACCACAGGTTCTGTGACTTCTGAAAGGGCAAAAATTGTATTCCTGCTTCTGTTTCAGATCCCCACCTTTTTTCCCCCATAAAGATAGATCCTCCCCTTCTTTTTTCCCCAAGTACTAGTTAAGTGCACTTATTACCTGCCTTCTAGACAAGCCCATTTTTCCCCAACCAGGAGGATGGTTTGCCTCTGCTTTGCTAAAATCCCCAGTGCTGGGAGATGTTTCACTTGCAGGTGGGTACCCTGATGGGTCTTTGTGGGTAGGGCTGTCTGCCAGGAGTGGGATGGGCTGGCCCAGAACTGAGTGTCTGGTGGGTTGCAGCACAGTATGCACTTAGAAAAAATAGTATCACTATTATATATGCATGTAATCTATAATGTACATGTCTGTAATTATATGTATAATATACATATAATGCATATTATATATTTATTTTATATCACTGTTATCATATAGGCCCCCACTTTTCCATGCAGCTTTGGTGGGACATGGTCAGAGCTTTGTGATCACTCTTGCAGCACAGTTTTAGAAAGAAATCCATAGTCCCTGAATGCTGTGGGGAGAAAGCTTAAACTGCTCCAAAATCAGAAAAGACAGGAAACGCCTCGTACATTTCTATAAATCTTGTATTTTTTTTTTTTTACCTAGTCTCAGATTCCTTGTGCGCTGATTGTCTGGGTTTGGCAGAGCTGAGATGAAGGCTTTTCCAAGCTCCTTGGTCTCTATTACAGCAATTCCTCAAGTATTTTCCTGTCATATTGTTATGGCTTTGAGTAGTACCCTTTTGCATTCATTTTTGCAGCAGAAACAATCAGTTCAGATGTTGTTTTCTGCAACAAGTTCTAGATATGAGTCATCCTGTATTTATCTCAAAGCATGCAACAGAACATTGAAACTAAAAAAAATGAAAGCTAAACAAACTGGATTGCCATGACAACACTGGCTACCTACAGGAGGAACTGTGTTTTTCTGAGCATGCCAGCGATGATGAGAATTGAAAAGAACACTTGAAACCCACTGAAATGTGGATTTCCATGTTCATTTTGCAAATTAAAAAATTGCTGCAATGCAAATGCTGTTACCTGGCCTGGAGGAAAACTGTTTGCCAGTTAAGAGGCAGAATCTTCCAGTCACCTCACCAGTAATACTCTGATTTTCATGGGATTAACTGAGAGAGTGGGAGGAATTTTTCTCCCTTGGAATTCCAGCAGACACTAGAAGCAATATCAAGAAGATCATTAATTTAAAATCTAATTCACTCAGTCAACTAATTAGAAGAAAATACTCTTGTTGCCATTTGCAGGTAGGCTGCTGAAATGTAATTAGCTCCTGGAGTGATTTCAGAATCTTCAAGTCTTTTCAAAATTTGCAAATTAGTTCCTTGAGGTGTTGGCTTTGGTAAGAGGTTTCTTCCAAACTTTCTCCTGTGTTTAGCTTTCTCCTTAGTCTAGTGATACAAGAGCCACATAGATGTGAAGGAATATCATATGCTTTTGAGAGCCATAAATAAAAAGCAGCCCTGGATTGTCAGTAACTATTATTAGCATCTTGTTTTTTGTTCCTAGTACACAGAATAGCGATAGTTTATAAATGCTTTATTTTATACAGCCATCCATCATGTTCAAGGACAGGCTACCAATGCTGAAGGCATATCCAAACTTTTGCTTGACTCAGAGCCTGCTGAAGGCTTGGTTTGAGTGCCTCCAAAGGTCAGGCAGTGCCTCCATGGCTCTCAGGTGCCATGACTGCTAATGTCACATGCGCCTTCAGAGAGGGAGCGTGGGCTCAGCCTGGAGATGTGGCCCCAGGAGGGTGTCTGCAGAGGCCAGCCACCCAACTGGACACTGGTGGTGATGATTGTCACAGGCTTTAAAATGTTTCACTGCTGTTGGAAGAGAGTATTTAAGGGCTAATTATTGCCATAGTGGAATGGGGCGATGGTTCTCCTTCGGGAGCTGCCTCTGGGAGCAAGCTGTGCACATGGCTCCCAAGGAAGACTGAAACCTCACAGGCACTTGGAAATAGACACTTGTTTACAAACCTGTCCTCGTCAGTCAGTGGCCTGGAGTTGCCTTCCTATCTCCAACAGCAACTTTCCAGTAGAAATGCAGTCCTACCTTCCAGTAGAAATGCATTAACTCACACTGATCTGACAACTCTGAATACCTCTGAAATTAAGTGGACTCAATTTGTTATGGCAGCAAACTGTATATTTATTCTGTGCTGTGTAAGGATCTATCAGCTCCTGCCTTATCAGTGGAGATGCAGAAAAGCAGCTAGTCTGTCCTTCACTGCAGTGCTGCAAAGATCCCAAATGTCATCTTGTTCCTTCCTACCCAGCAGCCCAGTCTGAGGAAGCAGGGGAGGGTTTTCTGGTGTGTGTTGTGGTTTGCAAACAAACTTCTATGAATATTGTGATGCCTGTTGAAAATGTTAATATATGCCAGGGCATAAAAGGACACTTCCTCCAAAAACTGGGCTCTCCTAAATCATCAAGTGCAAACTAACTCAGTGCTTCTGGAAATCCTGTCAAATATATGTACTTGTAGTGACAATATCATATGCCATGACATTATCCAGATTCATCTGAAAAGACATGCTTTTGTTTTAACAATAAAGCCAGAAATGGATCTGAGTTTGGCTTTGAAGTAAGTAGCTGTAAATAAATGCTGGCAGCCTTTTCTGAGCTGATGTGTTGAGGGTGATGGAGAAGTGTGTTTTATTGTGGCTGAGCAGAGGTGGGTCAGGCCACACATAATGTCACGAGTGAGTGCCTTGGTGTGATTAAGTCTCAGAGGATTTTGTGTTGCTGTGTCTCTCTGTAATGTGTGCCAGAAGGGTTGGTGACTAGAAAACACATTTGTTTCTTTAGGAAGAGTGAACAATCAAAATTTTAAGAATCGCTTGAGCAAAATTAGGTTATGTTTTTGAGGGATGCTCTCTTAAATAGGAACTGGCTTTTTAATCGCTGCCTCTGTTAAGAGAAGATTGATTTTCTTTCTTTCCCTTTTGTTTAGTACCTCAGGGTGAGAAGGTGAGGAAAGTGCAGGGGATGGAAGAGAAGTGTATCAAATGGCTGAAAACCTTAAAAATGTGGGAATATTCCACTTCCCAGAATTGGGAGTTGAGAAGGATCTGTGGGAAAATGAGAATGTGCCTCTGTGACTGTTTACAATGACACATTCCAGCTCAGTAAGCCTCCTTGCTTTTGGGTCACTGTGCTGCTGGAGACATTTGTTTTTTGGATGAGAAGAGAAACTGATACCCTCACTTTGTAGTTATTTAAGTATGTTTTCACAGAAATTCAGGGCCCAACACCCATCTGGGAACTTCCTGCCTGGAGTCACACTGAGCTTCAGTGTCCTACCATTCTGCAACAAATCTGATGTTGTAAGTGCTGTTGTAAGAGGCTGCATTTTTGCCACAAAGGGCCGTGTTTGTAAGTGGCAAGTGAGACAATCCTCTGTCTACCTGCCTTGACATTTGTGCCATCCTTTGTTACCATTTTAATAAACCTGTAAGGTACCATGGCAACTGGGTGTGATAACAGCTGCCAAAGCAGGCTCAGATGGAAGAAATCCTAGGCAGGATGGAATGTAATTTTTTCCTTTTTTTGAGTATTTGCCACTTTTGGTGCGGTGTACAATTTGGACTATTCCATTTGCAAGCAAGGGATGGGTTTGTCTCTTTTGAAGGCTGTCACAATTTTACTTGGTTGACTTCACAATTACTGGAATGATCAATCTGCAGTCTCTTGTACTTAAAACTATTTCAACTTTAGATGTGCTTTTTGGCAAGTAGATGCCAAGAAGCAAAAGCCTGGGGCACAGAGGGATGTTGGATTGATTTGTTTTTTTTCTTGTTTTCTTTAACCCAGTGGCACACATGCTGTTCTTTTTTAGTCCTTTGAAAGCCCTGCATACTTCCCAGAGGGTAGCACTCTCCCCATTCCCATTCCCCATTAATTTCCTCTCTCTTGAGAATAACAATTATTGAAGATTGCAACAATTTGAAATCCCTACTTGACCATCACTTCTATGGCACATCTCATGCAATCTGGCCCCAGCCCTAAGAGACTGTGATGGGATCAGCTAAGAATCACTCTGCCCCTCCTTTCTTCTGTATTTTCTCCCTGTTCCTTGATTTGCAAAGAGAAAAGGGTCTGACTTTAATTGCTCCATGTTGTGCAGATAAAAAAAATTCTAAATTGTAAGTTAAACACAGCTAAAGGGATATTTGCAGCAGTGATGCAGTGAAGTGTATAAAAGTTCAATATATATGTATGTACCTGCGTAGTTATTCATTTATTGTTTAAACTGGTAGAAAGTCACTTCAAAAATCTAACGTTCAAATGGGAGTTGAAGTTCTGTTAGTTTTCCAAAGGCTGGTGCATAGAAACCACGTAACTATTACAGATCTTATGCTATTTTTTCAAATGACCTGTTAAAGTGCCCCTCACCTATGGCAGCATCTCTGTTTGCAGGGAGGCGTGGCGCTGCCTGTTGGGGCAGTGTTGTTGATTAGTTTTTTTTCTTGTTTCCTCCTCCTGTATGTGGTAAATGCCAAAGGAGGATGTTTCCTGTGCTGGCAGCCATTCCATGGATTACATGACCTGTTTTCATTTGCAGATTTTTAACCTACTCCTACCTTCTGGCCTTCAATGCATGGCTGCTGCTGGCACCGATCACCCTGTGCTACGACTGGCAGGTCGGCAGCATCCCTTTGGTGGAGTCCATCTGGGACGTCAGGAACTTGGCCACGGTGTTCCTGCTGCTGGTGATGACATTGCTCAGCCTACACTGCGTTGCTGCATTCAAGGTAACACCAAAAGCCGTGCAGTACAACCTAAAAAGAAAATAAATACAAAAGTGTTTTGTTTCCTGGTCTCCAGATGAAATGGTTGGTAAGCACATGTTTTCCTCTGGAATGCATTGGAGTGAGGTGAAAAATCATTCCAGTAATAACTAATGCAGGCAAGCTCAACTGATGAAAATGTCTCTCTAGTTGAATGTCTCAGTCTTTAATTGGTCTGATTTGAGGGCAGAACTTGGCCCGGACTACTGCATTCAATTATTGTTAATGATCCAAACCCCACTGAAGTTTTTAAGCATCTCTGCCTCTCCCATAATCATTAAGCTTTTTGTCACTTACTTTAAACAGGACTGGGAACTGTCATTTGCAGAGCCTTTTGAAAATAAAATCGATTCCTCTATTTGCACTTTTGCTAGGCTTCTAAAACCTAAACATTGCATACATCTTGATGAGGAGATCTTTTTTTATCAGCAGAGTAATGGAATGTGGGAAATCGGAAATGACCTGGAAATTGTTCTTTAGTGTAAATAATACAGTTGGTAAGCCATACTTCCCAATTCAGCATTTCAGAGACACCATTAATCATATCACAGAAGTGAAAGTGAGGTTGTATAAGCCTTGTCAGAAGTCAGATATGCACTTCCATGGAAGGGTCTTTTTTGTGGATCATAGGGAGTTACAAGCTGTTTCTGTTTCGGTTGAGTTGTGGAAGCTTCTTTAGGAGAGGTGTCAGCACTCACTTTGGAAATAGCACAAAAGTTTCTCTTCCTTAAATGTGAGTATGGCTGAAAAGCATAGTTGAAGGGTGTCAGGTTTTAATACCTGTTATGCTAAAATGTGCAGGTCATGTACATTTTCAGTCTACCCTGGCAGTCTTCCCTGTGCTCCTGATAAGGGACAGAAAATGAACCAAAACAGTTTGAGACTGCAGAGCTATTAATTTAGATAATACATTCACAGATGCTGTATGGCAAATATGGGAAAACACCCTATTAAGTATTCACCAGTTCTACCTGCAGGTTGTACATCATCTCATATTCATCCTGCCTCCATTACTCACTGCTAGAAATATTCAGAACTGTTTGTATTAGACCTAATCCTGTTCTCAAGAAAGTTAATGATAAAATTCTCATTAGCCCAGTATTGAAGACTTCTGAAAAATCTTATTCCATGTTCATTGAAGTTTTATTTGCTTTTTATTTCTTCTCCTGCTGTCAGAACTATATGTAGGATTAATACTGTTGGTTTTCTTGAAAAAGATTTTATCATATTTTTATTACTTTTTAAAAAAAAAACAATTCAGTCTGGATTTATGAATACCACTGTTTAATTTGAAACTGCAAGTTGTAATTTTTTTGTGAGAAGTTCAGTTTTTCTCTTGACCACTGTTAATGTTCAACAACATGAATTTTGCTTTTTGGGCACTGAAATTTGGGCACTGAATTTGGGCTTTGAAATTCATCTTAAAGATTCCTTTGTGTTTAGCCTTGAAAACCCCAAACACTGAATGAATTGGATCTGAAGTGATCTGCTTTTGTATCTAATCCAGTAAAACTAGAACCATCCTGACAAAGGGCTCTCATGAGCACTGGCAGCCTCCAGCAATCCTGCTGGGAGCATGGAGCTGGTGATGATTCCTGGGGATCACCTTGGACGTGTTTCCCTCAGCCCTTGGTATGGAGTCACAGGAGGGTTTGGCTGGAAGGGACCTCAAAGACCATCCAGATCCAACCTCCCTGCCATGGGCAGGGACACCTCTCACTAGAGCAGGTGGCTCAGAGCCCCATCCAACCTGGCCTTGAACACTTTGAGGGATGGTGCGTATGTACATACATAATTAGAAGTATAATTGGAAATATTTTGCTTTTCAGGAAATTCTACATTTCTGATGCTATTTTCTGTTTTATTTTTAACAACTCCACAATCTCTGAATTGTGGTACTACCCTTCAGTGGTAGTGTTGGGTTGAGTGGTATGAATTACCGAGGAAAGCAAACAGGAAGCAGCACTTTGCCTGGAAATAAATGATGCCATTTGACTTCAAACAATCCCTTTTATAACAAGGAGAGGGGAGTTCAGGGCACATGAACTGAGGCACAGTTCATTGTAATGGGGTCTTAGGAAAGCATCTCCAAATGCAGCAGTAGTGGCCTTTTATAGGGCATTGCTTCTTCCCCGAGGAAGGACCATCCTTCAGTCAAGCCCCAGACAAGCTATTACTCGGTGCTTTACAGCTTAGAGGCAGCACAAGATCTATCAGTTGATTTCTCACATTTGGTAAAGTGTAAGATGTTCTGCTTTGTTTTGGAAGCACACAGAACAGTCTTAGCTGCCATTTTTCTCTCCTTTTTCATTGCAAGGTCTCACCTGGAAGAGGTAGCTTGCAATTTCCTAGGGAATGATTGTAGAGTGAACAGGCACGCAGTCTGTGTGTGCCTCTCTCTTTAGAGTGTAGGTGTGCAGGGGTAAGAGAGAATGAAACCTCATATTCATTCTCAGTGGCACCATCGCTTTCCTTTCTGCAGCACAGAGAATGGAAATACTGGAAAATGTTTTGGCAGCAGTGAAGACATTGGTCCAGTGAACATTGGTCCAGTGAACATTGAACTGATTTTCAGTGGCAAGAGGTGATGTGTGTGCATCCACAACACAGACTCACAGGAGACTCACAGAATGTTTTGTGTGGACTGTAATTGGAGAATCATGGGTTGGATTTCTGCCTTTGTTGTCGTTGAATTTTAACCAGGGCTAGTTTGTTGACGTTTGTGATTAGGGTAATAACTCTGTTGGGCATGTATGTGTGGTGCTGATAAAGGACATCTAAGGCACAAAGCTTTCTTGTTTCATTTTGTGAACGTTGTTATACCTCAGAAAGAGAATCAGTGGAAGATTTCCACCCGTGGGTGCTTTCCTTGGAACATGTCTGTTACTAGATGGGGATTTAGTGATGGAAACTGCATAAACAAGAGAAGGCAGCTCTCCAGTTTGTTTGGAGAGAGAGGCCTCCCTTCTTATCCTGCTCATGTACCTTCCCTGTTGTCTTCCTCTTTACTTAATGAGGAGGTCACTTAAAAAAATGGCTTTGTTAACTGGGTATAACTTGTGTTCTCTGGGTTGCTTCTCCTGTGTAGTGTGAATCCCTCTCACCAGCTGGAGAGCTCCCTGTGAGCAGCTCCCCAGGCAGGACTTGTTCTGCTCAACTCTTTGCAGTGAATGTCCTCACACAGGCTTCAGGCAGAGTGCTGGGGACGTGACAAAGGCTGGGGGTGCTATTGAAAATGCCTGCATCCTGGAGGAATTTTAATAGTTGGGAAAAGAGGATGACATTTATTGTTCGTTGACAAAGATAGCCTTGGCTATGAGGAATGGTTGTGGTGTGACTTCCAGATGGATTACAGAGGCGCCAGGAAATGGATGAGGCATTCTCTCAGTGGATCTCAAGCATGCCAGTCACAAGGTCAGAAAAATAATCTGGTGCTTCAGAAGGCCACTGGGGTAGCCAAGGGCCCATGGCACTGCCTTTCTTTGCTGGAAGATACGGGGAGCACCTGGTGAACTGGAGGGAGGACAGTTCTTGGCATTATCATCAGGATGACAGTTATTTCTTTGACATGTCATAATAATTCAATGAGCATGAAAGGGAAGACCCTTCAGATGTTTGAAGCTCCACTCTGCATGGCATTTTTAGGTCGCTGCCTAATTAGCAGCTTGTCCCACAGTTTTAGCTGTGAATGTATGTGTGCAGAGCACGTGATGGATGGGATTCCATTTTCCCTGTGGTACCTGACATATGGAGGGCTGATTGTGGGAAAACTCGTGTGTGTAATGGGCTAAATCAGTGGGGTGATCTGGAAAACTGACTTGAAGCAGTGGCTTTTGCACCTGGGCAATCTGGGGGAGTGTGGGAGTGTATTGCACCTCATACTGACAGCCCTCACACATTTGTACTCGTGACCAGCATTGTAAAGGTGCCTTCTGGTGGTTCACAGCACCTTCTGCTCCTTCAGCCCGAGCACATAATGATGTACAGCAGTTTGCTCATGTCCGAGGACGACATGCTACTAACATTTCACATCAATTAAAAAAAAAAAACCAACAAAAAACCCCCCTAAAATATATATAATCTATATAAATATATATAAATAATATAATATATTTTATATATATATATATAAAATATATAACTTTTATAGAGAACATGCTTGGCTGTTCTGTGTGATGTGGCTACATATGGTACAGGAAATTGTGATGGTTTTCAGGTTATATTCATGGCATGTGACTGACATATGTATTATCCTGATCTCTCATATGCTACAGTTGGTTGTTTTTTATTTCAGAGCTAATTTTGAAGGTGATGCTGCCTCTTTGAATTTCCCTGCATGGTGTTTCTTAGCCAAGACAAGGCATTTTATACCATATTGTGATGACTTTATTTCGTGCTGTAATTGGCATCATATTGCCATTTATCTGGTGGATTATATGTGTGGATAGCATCTGAGCATATTCTTCAGTGACTTTCAGACTAAATTCCTTGGCTGACAACGTTCAGTATCATCCAGGAGAGGAATGCATTTGCATCTTCTCTTTGTGTGCATGTTTCTGTTGTTTTTGCTAGCACTCATTATGTGTATTTTGTCATGCTATTTACTTTACCCTGCACTCATGAGACCTTTGCCTCGTTTCCCAGGTTTGGCATTTCATTAATAAATCACAGCTTATGGACCTTTCTGGGGAACAATTGCCTTTTCTAATATTCTACAGCAGTACCAGCATAGTTAGAAAGTATGCCTAGCAAAATTTATATGCCACAACACTTCCAGAACAATACCTGCTTCAAAGGCACAGCAAGGTGAATAAGGCTATTTATTGATGGAGTCTATCTGACGAGCTGGAAACCACAGTCATTTCCATAAAAGGCCCATTTAAAATAAATCCTGCTTTCATTTTCCTGAGGGCCACTTGAATTCCTTCCACATAGAGAGAAGGTCAGGACTGATGTTCTTAATC